TTGTGTATCATTAATCTTTTTAATTAATTAATTAATTAATCTCTTTAATTACCCAGCATTAAATATGATGTATATCATTTAGACAGACTTTCCCTTTGCCACAACATCAAGTAAATTTCCCATCGGATGGTTTTTCATCCGAGAAATTTAGTGATAGGCAAAATTCACATCGAACAGTCATTCCACCACAATTACGTTGGAGGATTGCATCCTCATGTACTCCATTTTTGCTGAGAAGGCAGTTCCTACCGGTATTGGTAGTACTTGTTGATGACTGCTCTCTCAACATATTCTGTTGTCGCCACTGCCTTCTTTCAATTTTAAAGGCATGCTGGTCTTTAGACATTTTAGCGCCGCCTTCTTTCAAAATCAGACGCATCAACAGTTGTTCTTTAGACATAGTCCTACCTCTCTCTCTACTGTAGCGGTCTGAGATGCAGATGAATGTGAATCCTGTCTATCAGGCCGCTGAGAGCTGTCTGACCAATGGCTGATTCTGGCTGATTCTCTGGGGGTGGGACTTCCTCCTCCGTGCTGTCAGTTTCCACAGCTGTGATGAGAAAGCTGGGGTGACAGAGGGAGCTCTGCCCTCCAAGCTGCCCTCTCTCTCTTGCTCTGTTTTATGTTCAGCAATCTCCTGCTCTGCCAAGTCCTCCAAAGCTCCCGCTATCCACCGGCAAAGTCCCAGGAGTCCGCAGGCATGGCTAGGCTTTTGTGGCCGCGCCTCCTGATCGCGAAAGTCCTGGGAGCCCGCGGCCACTGCCACTGTTGCCTCCTGGGGTGCTTGACACCTGCGTATGCAAATTAAATGCCATCTTTGTTGGGTAATTTGCATAGTCACTCGGATTGGCTGGTGGGCATGGCTTTGTGGGCATGGCTTAAGAGTAGCAGAGGGATGGTTAATTTGCAAGTTTCTTATTATATAGGACTAGAGACCCGGTGCACAAAAATTTGTGCACTCGGGGGGAGAGGGGTCCCTCATTCTTGCCTGTGCCCTCTCGCACTCTGGGACCCCTCTGGAGATAACAACCTGCCTGCTTAGGCCTGCTCCAGGGTGGCAGAGGGCAGGCCCAATCCCTAGGTGCAGCCCCTGGTCGCGCTCAGAGCAGGGCCGATTGGGGGGTTGGGACACCGTCCGCTGTCACACGCAAGGCAGGGTCGATGGGGAGGTTGCGGCGCCACCCCCTGTCACGCACAGAGCAGGGCGGATCAGGGGGTTGGAGCACCGCACCCTGTCACACACAGAGCCACAGGGTGATCAGGGGGTTTGGGCGCTGCCCCCTGTCACGCTGATCCTGGTGCTTGGAGGCCTCGCTGCTCCGCTGATCCTGGTGCTGGGAGGCATATTACCCTTTTACTATATAGGATAGAGGCCTGGTACACAGGTGGGGGCTGGCTGATTTGCCCTGAAGGGTGTCCTGGATCAGGGTGGGGGTCCCGCTTGGGTGCCTGGCCAGCCCGGGTGAGGGTGAGGGGATGATGGCTCTTAGCATCCGGTCACACCCCCTTTAGGGTGGGGGTCCCCACTGGGGTGCCTGGCCAGCCTGCATGAGGGGCTGAGGGCTGTTTTCAGGCTGGCAGGTGACTGAAGGTTCCAACCTGTCCTTTTTATCTTTTTTTTACTCTGGGCCAGCTTTAGCTCTGAGGCTCGGCTCCAACTATGAGACTTCCACTGCTGAAAGCAGGTTTCTGGCCTTTGTTTACCTTCTGTATTTGAAACAATGTTGCGGTCCTGCTGGCTGAAGCCCAGGGTTTTGTTTAGCTTCTATATTTGTTACAATGTTGCTTAGAGTGCAGCTGAGAGGCAGGCGGGCAAGCTTGGCTTCCTCCGTCACTGAAGGAAGGAAGCCTCCCTGTTCGCGTCAGCTGCCTGGCTGCCGGCCGCCATCTTGGTTGGCAGTTAATTTGCATATGTCACTGATAAGCCAAGGGGAAGGGTAGCGGCCGTATGGCTAATTACCATGTTTCTCTTTTATTAGATAGGATAGGCAAGATAAGCTGATTATTAGAATGCGATGGGCAGCAGTGGACATAAAGAAAAGTGGTTGGATTGGAATATATTTCAGAGGAGGAAGCAACAGCATTTTTCAATAAGTTGAATATAAGATGAAAAATCTCTACTTTTTCCCTTGTTAACTAGATTGCACCATCCATTTAGTTTATCAAGGTGTGGTAGGCTTGAGATTCAAATGTTTTGCTCAGGTCAACTTAAATTTGAGGTATTTAGAGTAATCAAAATGGTCGATGAATATATGAATTTGGAGTCTATGGGAGAGGTCAGGGTTGGAGTCAAAATACAACTATAAAATAAACACATATATATTTAGTATCAGTAACTTCATTTACTAGGGAGAGCAGCCACACACCTCTATTTGTTCATTTATTTGTTAATCAGTGAATGCAGTCATATTCTCTTTCCAGAAATACTTACTGTATACCCATCAACCTATCAGAGTCTAGTACAGTTATGCCACTGGCCTCTAAAGAGAAGAGTGTGTAACTAGAGAATGTGGATCATGGGAAGAAAATATTATTACTTTTAAAAAATATAGTGAATCATGGAAAGGAAATATTATAACTTTTAAAAAATATTTATATTTTCCTAAGAACAAAAATACAATATTTTACAAATATTTAATATATAGACTTACACTGGCATCTCATTATTAGAGTGAAAAGCGCAAATTATGCAATGTGGAGAATAATTTAGGAATTTCTTTATTTTCTTTCCTTTCAATATATTGTGATATATTGCAGTTTATGTGTTCTGGGCTAAGCAGATTTCTCAATGACATTATTATTTCATTGAACTAATCCCCACTAAAATGAAAGTAGCTAAAAAGATTTTGGAAAAGAAAACATAAGTTGGAGATCATAATACAAGCATAAGAAAAAATGACAAGAATAGAGATGACATGTCTACTTCTAGCATGAGCTCTAAAGAAGTCATCTTATTAAGTAGTGGAGATGACATTTTGAAATCAGAGATTTGGAAACATTTCATTATGTGATTTTGATGCAAAAATAATGTATATATTCTACCCAAGGCTGGAACTACCATGAGACAAGAGAGGCATTCACTTGGGTGTACAATTTAAGGGAGCCCCCAAAATGCAGTAATCAAGATGACCATTTTAAAAAGTCAAAATTAGCCCTGGCCGGTTTGGCTCAGTGGATAGAGCGTCAGCCTGTGGACTCAAGGGTCCCAGGTTTGATTCAGGTCAGGGGCATGTACCTTGGTTATGGGCACATCCTCAGTAGGGGGCGTGCAGGAGGCAGCTGATGGATGTTTCTAACTCTATCTCTCTCCCTTCTTCTCTGTAAAAAATCAATAAAAAATATTTTTAAAAAATAAAAAGTCAAAATTAATGCAAAAATCTGTGATGAACAAAATATCAAAATTTTATAGACAAGATTAATCTATAAAAAAAGCATACATGTACACTAAAACTTGAAGGCAGAATATTCTAGCCTATTTAAAAATCCTCTGAGCAATGATTCCAGAGAGTTTTGAACCCATTTGTTAAGAATATAAAAATGCAACATCTTCTGGCTGACAACAGCGGACTCCTGGGACTTTGCCGGTGGATAGCGGGAGCTTTGGAGGACTAGTTACTAGTTTAATGTCTACAAAAACTTTCCATGATTGGTGGATGGAAGTGATAAATGGAAAAGC